AATGTACTTTTCTAACATTTTTTATTGTGAAATGGAATAAAAATACATAAAAGTACCTAAAACACAAATATACAGTGTAACAATAATTATAAAGTAAACACCAAGGTAGCCACCACACAGGGCAATAGATAGAACACTGCCAGGATCCCAGAAGTCTCTCATACATGATTCCTTACCGAGCACACAAACTACTCTCCCTTGAAGGTGACCTGCAAGTGATCATTTCTTTGCTTTTCTTTCCTGTTTTTAAACTTTATATAAGTAAGATCATACAGTGTGTGCTTTTGTGTCTTGCCTTTTCTTACCCAACATTATGTTTGTAAGATTCATCCATATTGCATGGAGCTATAATAGATTCCTTGTAATCACTTTAGAATACTGGAGTGTTTGAAAGTGGCTCACTGTATTTAAATATTCTACTGTTGTTTGGGTTGTTTCCAGGCTTGAACTATCATAAATGTCCTTTGAATATTATTGTCTATATCTCCTGGAGTACATGCATGTGCATTGCTTTAGTTTAATCAAAGAGCAGAACTGCTAAATCATAGCATATGGTTATCTTCCACTTTACCAGATAATGCCAACCTGTTTTCCAAAGTGGTAGCAATTTATCCTGCTTCATCACTGTTTGATGATTCTAGTTGCTCTAGAACTTTATCACTTAGTGTCTCAGTTGTTTTAACGTTAGCCATTCTAATGCAATATTGTATTCCATTTTAGTTTAATTCTCAGTTCCCTGATTGATTGGTCACATTTTTGTATATTTCTGGCTATCTAAATATCTTTGGGGAAGTGCCTGCTTAAGTCTTTTGCCCATCTTTCTATTAGGTTGTCTTTTTTTAATTTATTAATATGAGGATACTAATCCTTTATTGGTTATAAGTATAGCAAATACCTTTCCCTAGTCTGTGCCTTGTATTTCAGTCTACGGTGTCTTTTGAGGAAGATAAGGTTTTGATTTTAATGTTGAGAAATGTATTGATATTTTCTTTAAGTTTATTTATTTATTTTGAGAGAGAGAGAGAGAGAAATCACGCATGCACACGAGTGAAGGAGAAACAGAGAGAGAAGGAGAAAATCCCAAGCAGGCTTCACACTGTCAGCACAGAGCCTGATGCAGGACTCAAACTCACAAACTGTGAGATCATGACCTGAGCTGAAATCAAGAGTCGGATGCCTAACTGACTGAGCCACCCAGGCACTCACTGATATTTTCTTCTGCTTGTTTCTTATATCTTGAAAGAAAAAAACAAAAAACAACTTCCCTAACATGAGATCAGGTACTTTTCTACGTTACATTCTGGAAGATTTACTTTTGCCTTTCACATTAGGCCTTTAGTCCACCTGCAATTACTTTTTCACCAACGGAGTGAGGAAGGGGTCCCATTTCTTTCTCTCTCTCCCTTCTCTACCACCACCCATGCCCGTCTCCTGGGACTTACTCATTTGTCTTAGCCTCATTTATTATAAAATTCAACCTTTCTTCACTGAAGTATCCTGCAACCTCAGTCATATGTCCAGTGTTTTATATACATGGGGATCTGTTTCTGGGCTGTCCCTCATGCTCCACTGTCTACTGTCTATGCCTACTTCCATACCACACTGACATCATTACCACAGCTCTGTGTGAGTCTTGATGTCTCACAGAACAAACCCCCTGACCTCTTCCTTCATCTTCAAGAGCGCGTTGGCCATCTTTAGCCCTTCCTACTTCCATATAAATTTTAGAATCAGCTTGTTGAGTTCTACAAATTTGGGATTTAACTAGGATTACATTTATTCCATAAATCAGTTTGGGGACAATTGTCATCCTAACCAATCTGTGAGCTCAGTATAGCTCTCCTTTTAGATATGTCTTTTTAATACCAGTATGACTTTATTTTCTTTGAAAAAGACTTACATATCTTTTATGAGATTTAGTCCTAAACATGAAATATTTTATGCCATTGAAAATTGTATCTTTAAAACATTTATTTTCTGTTTCTGCTGGCACATAAAATGATCAGTGTTTATAAACTGATTTTTGTACCAGCAACCTTACCAAACTATTAGTTTAGTTCTAATAGCTTCTCTGTAGACTCCATTGGAGTTTCTGTTATCTTCAAATAATGACAGTTTGTTTCTTACTTTGCAGCCCTTAGAACTTTCCTTTCTTATTCTTATTTACTGAGCAAGCTAGGGTCTTTAGCAAAGCACTGCCTCCAAAGCTTTCATTGAATTGACTGAATTTGGGTTTCATACTTTGAAGGTACAACCAACAGGATTTGCTGACAGATTGTATTTAGGCTGTGAGAGAAAGAGAGGACTCAGGGTTTAGTTCAAGGCATTTTGCTTGAGCAACTGGATGAATGGCATTGTCATTTAGTACAGGCAAGGCCAGAGATTTGTTGGTCATGTAATGCTGGTAATTAAACGAAGAAAGATAAAAACTGACTTATACTTATTGGCAATGATCTCTCTAACAGACTTTAGACTGGTTTTCCACTTCTGAAATAATTCACTCCAGTAAGGATTTAAACATATACAAGTATACTCTCAGTAGGGTTTGACTTATAACTTCCTGTTCAGCCACTGTCCTCTACAGGGGGTTTGTCTGAATATGAGCTGTACACTCAGATTAAAATCTGAACCAAAAAAAGAGAAATAACTTTTCCCTCTAGCCTCAATCTCTCCTATTTCATCACACGTGCGCACACACACACACCCCTATCTTGATTTGCAATCTTTCCCCAGGTCAAATAACTATAATAAAACCTCCCTCACCCAGAAAATTTGGTCCTTGCAAGTAGCTTGTCTGGGAAAATGTCTTTGAAAGATCAGCTGCATTTGTGTGGTATTAACTCAAGAACAATGAAGAAAAAGAAGGGGTGACTTCTACAGAAGGGATCCTGAGTCAGACAAAAAGACCTCCTTGTGCCAGCTAGAAGGCCAATTTGACCACCCTTTGTCACATGGTTCTCAAGGTACTGGTAAAGCCTTATGAGTTCTCACACAAAGAAGCAAAACTCTAACAGTCCTTTAGGCAGCTGAAGTCACATTCACCTACTCACCCAGTTCCCTGATGTTTATTCAACACACATGCAGGGGATCTCATTGGTGGAAGAGTGATAAGCCAGCTACATTTCCCTTCACTCACCCTTCAACTGCCACCCAATTTCAAGAGTGTAAGTTCCTGGGGCACCTGGGTGGCTCCGTCGGCTAAGCAATTGACTCTTAATTTCAGCTCAGGTCATGATCTCAGGGTTTGCAGTCAAGCCCTGGGTGAAGCTCCATGCTGACAGTGTGGAGCCTGCTTGGGATTCTCTCTCCCTCTCTCTGTCCCTCCCATGTTGGCACAAACACACACACACTCTCACTCTTTGTTTCGAAATAAATAAACACTTAAAGAAAAAAAGAATGTAAGCTCCAAAACGGCTGTAGCATTGTCCTGTAAAGCTTCACTGTCCAAAACGGTGCTTGTCATATAATAGACATACAATATTTTTTGGAATTGACATTCTTTAAATGCTTTATTTATTTCTGAGAGAGACAGTGTGAACAGGGGAGGGTCAGAGAGAGAGGGAGACACGGGCTGCAGGCTCTGAAACAGGCTCCAGGCTCTGAGCTAGCTGTCAGCACAGAGCCCAACTCGGGCTCGAACCCACGAACCTGTGAGATCATGATCTGAGCCAAAATCGGACGCTTAACTGACTGGGCCACCCAGGCAGCCCTGGAAGTGACGTTTTAAAGTCTTTTAAAAAATTACCTTGAAGAAGGGCACCTGGGTGGCACAGTTGGTTAAGCATCTGACTCTTTTCTTTCTTTTTAATTGTTTTTTGTATTTTTGAGAGGGAGACAGAGAGACAGAGCATGAGTAGGGGAGGGGCAGAGAGAAGGGGAGACACAGAATCTAAAGCAGGCCCCAGACTCTGAGCTGTCAACACAGAGCCCAGTGTAGGGCTCGAGTTCACAAACCAGCAAGATTATGACTTGAGCTGAAGTCAGAAGCTTAACGGACTCAGCGCCCCTTAAGTTCTTTTTTTTTTTAACTCAAACTCACAGACCTCAAGATCACCACCTGAGCCAAAGGCAAGCGTCCAATTATTGACCTCAGCTCAGGTAATGATCTCATGGTTAGTGATCTGCACTGATGGTGCAGAAGAGCCTGCTTGAGATTCTGTCTCTTCTTCTCTCTGCCCCTCCCCCACTCAAAATAAATTAATACACTTAATTTAAAAATTGCCTAAAAGAGTTAAACTTTGATTTATCTTACCTGAAAAAAATCAATATTTAAGTTGATTGAATTTATTGATTTAAATTGACCAAATCAAAGTTTTAAATGTTTAAGATTGACGCGTCAATTAATAACATTGTCATTACATAGAGTTACAAACCACCTCTAGGGAGTGGAACTCCAGGGAAAGGAATGCTGTTTTTTTAAATTTTTACCACTTTTACTTTCGGGTTATTTGCAGTTGTCTTGATGATTTTCTACTTTACAGGTTTAAATTATACACATTCCCAACATCCTAATACAACTATTCATTTTTGTGTATGACCTACCTTCTTCATAAATACATACACACATTTGTATTAGTATGGTTGTTTGCAATCACAGCTATGTATTTTACAGTCACCTTTTTTTCACTTAACCTAGTTTCAGTTACCAGGACCGGCGTTCCGTGTTTCTGTAGTCTGCATCGTCATCACGTTAATGTCTGCACGATATTACAACGTGTATTGTACAATAATGTAACTAAAGATCCTAAACTGGACCATTCAGGGTTGCTTCCATTTTTCATGGAAAATAACGCAGCGGTGCAGACTGCCAGTTCTTTGAACGATGCTGCTGAACCACATTTTAGGTTTCCGCCCAGGAGTCTTAGAGTCGGATCCCGGACTGAGGACTACTCAAGAGCGCCAGCGTGGCCCCGCCCCACGGGCGAGACCTGGACGCACGGCCCCGCCCCGCGCTGCGTCACGACGTCCCGCCCAGCTGAGACAGGCGAGCGTAGCGCGAGCGGCCGCTGGCGCGCGGGCGAGCTGATCGGGTCTTGAGAGCGCGGGAGCAGGGCGCGCTGGCTATGGCTCCCTGGACTGAGCTCGAGCTGTCGGCGCTGAACCCGCTGCGCGCTCTGTGGCTGACGCTGACCGCCGCCTTCTTGCTGACCCTGTTGCTACAGCTCATGCCGGCCGGCCTCCTCCCCGGCTGCGCGCTTTTCCAGGACCTGATCCGCTATGGGAAAACCAAGTGTGAGGGGCCGTCGCGCCCGGCCGTCTGCCGGGTCTTTGATGTCCCCAAGAGGTAACCGCGCCCCGGCTCGAGTCCGGGATACCGCGGTGTGGAGAGCCCGGCGCGCCCGGCTCGGGCAGCCGGCAGGGGGCAGCAAACGCGGGCGCGGGGCCCACGCTTACCAGGCCAGGGAGGCCCTGACGCCCGGAGCAGCGGCTGCTTCGGCTGCGCTGTCGGGCGCAGCCGGGCACTGCCGCTTCCGCTTCGTGGCCCGGTGGGGGGGGCGGAATGCCCCGAGGACCCCGAAGATGCCGAGCCGCGCGTGAACGTGAACTTGGAGCCGCACGAGTCTTTCCCTGCGGAGAAATGGCAGCGCTTACGATGCAGGCCTGGTCTTTGGTTGTGTCCCAGGTCCACAGACCGCAGGTTAAAGCCTTTTAGCCCCAAATTCCCCGTTTCCCCCTCGCCTGCCCTCTAGGGGTTTATAATCTAACTTGAGGTCACAGGAACTCTCTTGTAGACTTGAAGGGAGGCGTGCCCTTCGCTCCTGTTTTCCCTGTGTGTCTCAGACCCTCAAAGTCAGGTCAAGGGTCCAGACGCTGGTCACCACAAGGGCGCCACCTCCTTTGGCTGCGCCGACATTGGCGACTCGGACCTTGGCGGGTGCCCCTGGGGAAGAAGGTGGTCCGAGAGTGCACATTTTCAGCAAGCCCGATCCCGAAGCTTTACTTGACTTTCAACAGATTTCATAACCAAGTTCAATGAAAGAAAGATTAAATGGTTAGGGTTTAAAAAGAATTCTTTCAGGAATTGTAAAGACTTGTTATAGTTTGCTTCCCTTGGGCGGCTTGCGGGGGCGTGGGGGGGGTGTTGTTTGTTTTTTTTGTTTTGTTTTTTTTTTTTGCTTTGTATTCAGAACATAACTGGGAAGAGTCAACCAAACACTTCTAGATGGTAGGAAAATAGCAGTGGATTTTCTGTCTTTAAGGTGCATCTTAAGTTGACATTTAGGAAGTAATGTGGATGAACATGGTAAGGTTTCTAATGTATTAGAACACCTGGATTATCATTCGAACCTCTTTGGCAGTGTCCCAGGTCCACAGACAACAGTAGGGCCGAGTATCACTTGGCTTCTAAAATATGGATAATCCCCCACTTCTGTCTTTTGGAAAAGGATTTATTAGGTGTTAACAATGACAAGGAAAAACTAGGTCATTCAGAGGAAGAGTAAAAGGAATGAGGCTCTGGGAAGAGGTAGGAGTATTTAGGACAAATTAGTCAAACTCCCTATTTGTTAGAGGATCTTTTTAAGCCAAAATTATCTGTCATCCTTTTTTTTTTTTTTTTTGAGAAGGCTGGATGGGGGGGGGGGGGGGGGGGGGGCGGCGGGAATAGGGACAAAGATCTTACCAGCTTGAGATCATGACCTGAGCGGAAATCAAGTGTCTCACACTCAATGAACTGAGACACCCAGGCACCCCATCATCCTATTTTTAATCAAGTTTGATCGCAATACATTCTTTACTACTTTATAGCAGTGGCATTCCCAGGTTATCATTTTTTTTTAATGTTATGAAGTGAAGAAAAAAATTATTTCTTACTGTGAATTCTAACAATTTGTGTTCTAAATTTTGAAAAAGGCATTAGTGTCTCTAGATTATAGGACACATTTCAAATCATTCCCTGCACTCACCTGTTTCTCTGGCTCCTATACCCCACCTGTTAGTGTTCAAGTGTGTGATCATATGACAGCTAAGAAACAAGCGTGGTACCTTTTCCTTTATTCATTACTACTCTTTGGGTTTGTAATCTGTCCCCTAATTTACACCTTTTTCTTCCAGAATTCTAGAGTAAAACCTCCCTGATGTTTTGTTCTCTAAATTTAGACCAACATTTCTTTAGTATTGAAGAAGTCCACGCCAGTAAGGAAGGACAAATATTGTCTAGATACTATATTTAAATAAATTTCCTTATGCAAAGTTCAAGTACTCTTAAAAGTGAAAATAAACCTGTAATTTTTACACTAAGGAAGAGGCAGCTATAAGTCACATTTCTGCATCGAAAATAGTGCTTAGGCAATTTTGCTGGGGGTTATTTTTTCCTAAGGAGGCAGGAATAAAACCTTAAATCAGTTCATGGTGTGTTTGAATCCATTACTCCTGTTGGATAGGGGTTTTTTCCCTAAATTAAAATGATGATGCTTTTCTTGTTTTCCTTTGGTTCATAAATTATTGATTTCCCGGAAAGCCTGAATAATAGGTGACGCCAACATGAGTCACAGTGCTGTTGACTTGTATAGTGTATATGGAAGTACTTCTGCTTCTAAAATTTCAAAAGGGTATCAAAGCATTGCAATTGAATTGAGTTCTGGAGGCAGAGAGAGTCATTCAGACTTTCCCCCTGGGGTTCAGCAGTCCTGACCAGAGGTCCGGGGAACCCATGGGCAGAAATTCAGGGCAAACTTGGATTAGAAAAAATTACATCTTTATTTCAGTAACCTCTAAGCAAAATTCAGCATTTCCTTAGTGATAAGTGTAATCAACAAACCACAGTGTGATTAGCAGTACTTGCAATATTGTGACAGGTTTATATATATATATATATATTTTTTGATGTGACATAACACATCAAAAATACTTAAGAGATCTCAAAACATTATTGTCATCACCATAAAAATGAATCACTAGGTGGCTCAGTCAGTTGAGCCTCTAACTTTGGCTCAGGTGATGATCTCACAGTTTGTGAGTTTGAGCCCTGCGTCAGGCTCTGTGCTGACAGCTGGGAGCCTGGAGCCTGCTTCAGATTCTGTATCTGCCTCTCTCTCTGCCCCTCCCTTGCTCATGCTCTGATTTTCTCTGTCTCTCAAAATGAATAAATGTTTAAAAAAGAGCACCTGGGTGGCTCAGTCAGTTAAGTGTCCCATCGTGGTTTTGGCTCAGGTCATGATCTCAGGGTTCATGGGATCGAGCCCTCAGTTGGGGCTCTGCGCTGACACCACCTAGCCTTTTGGGGTCTGTCTCCCTCTCTACCCCTCCCCCTCTCATGCATGAGCTCTGTCTCTCTCAATATAAATAAATTTTAGAAAAGAATGAATCACTAGATATTGTTATTTGATACATTAAGAAAAGTACGTATATTACTATTATCACAAATTTTTTTATTATTTGTGTTACTTATATTTCAATATAATTGGTTTCCTTAGTAACCGCTATGTATTTTATTATTGAAGTAACATTTTGAGAAGTGGCCAGTAGCCTTTACCAGACTGCCAAAGGAATCCATGGAAGAAAAATATTAAGAACCCCTCCTTCAGACTATAAATTTGGCCATGAGTTTACATTTGACTTTTTTGTTACCATATCCCTGGTACAGTGCCTGATAAATACTGTCCTTGACGACTATGTTTTGAATGAATTTTAAGAAAAAGAAGGTTAAGATTTAACTGGTTTGTTGATCAACTTAACTGCTGACTTCAAGAATAACTTTGGATGAGATACCCTCTCATTTATTCATTCAGCCGGTGTTCATAGAATACTTTTGTGCCAGGAGTAAGATCCCTTGTAAGATAGATATGTACAGTAGATATGTAAACAGATCTTAGAAAACAAGCGAGATAATTTTGGATGGTAGTAAGTGCTTCAGAGGAAACCCAGCAGGATTATTTGATCATGAGCAAAATGTGGTGGCCGTGGCAGTGACAACACTGGAGAGGATTGTCAGGGAGGGGTGGAGCAGGAGACGAGTTCACTGCGGGAGGCAGGGCTCGCTCACCAGGGCCATGGAGGAAATTAGATTTTATTCTGAGTGTATGGAAACCCATTGATGGAATCGATGGGGAGGCAGGCATGGCACTGTGTGACTCCTGTTTTGAAAGGGTGACTTGCCATTGTGCGGAGAAGACTGAGTAAGAGGCTATTATGATGGTCCAGGCAAGAGGCAGTCAATATGGATCAGAGGGGTAACATAATAGCACCCCCTTGTCATATAGGTGGTGATGATGTTAAAGCACTTAGCACAAGGCCAGGAACCTTGTCAGAGCTCGGTAAACATTAGTTCACTTCCTTAGTTAACCGTGTAACTCCCCTAATTGGGCTTTGGATCAGTTCCTGCAACCAGTAAATATATATCTTATTAGATCCTACCCACCCCCACCTCAAAACCATCCAGTGGCTTCTAACTCACTCACAGGAAGAGCCCAAGACCATGTATCGTTTTGTTCATACCACCTCATTGTGTCCTGTAGTTAGCCCCCCATGTGGTTGTGGTCCAGTTTTGTCGGCCTCTCTTTTCCGCCTCAGGTCCTTTGCTCTGCCTGTTACCTATACCTAGAAAGCTCTTTCCCCACATAGCCACATTGTTTATGTCCTCACTTCCTAGAATTCTATTCAGATATTACCTACTCAATGAGGTGTGCCTATCTACCCTGTTTAAAAGTATAATTCTACCATCCCAGATATTCCTTCTTCTCTTCCTGGCTTTAGTTTTCTCAGTAACAGTTATCACCTGCTGGCATGCTATAAAATTTGTTTTTGTGTATGAGTGTGAGTCTAAATGCCATGAGGACTGAAATTACCTGTTGTATCCATTGCTGTAATCCCAGAGCCTAGAGCAGTCCCTGGATTATAATTAGCACTGAAATATTTGTTAAAGGAGGGCTTCCTTGCTTCTGAGTCCTGAAATCAGCTTATCCCTGTTCCATTGGGCTTGGAAAACAGTGCTCCAATTAAGCAAATTGCCAAGAGAGGAAGAAGGGGGGGGAATGTCTAAAAGAGTATTTAGATCTGTGATTGGAGGCGAAAGCTGGGTCTTTTTAAAAACCAAGAGACTTACCAAGTAGAAGATGTTTCTCATAGAGGGCAATTAGGCAAGCAAAACAAGAGAATGTACAGAAAATAGGAATATAAGAATGGTAGTCTGCCTGTGAATCAGAAACCTCACAGCACAAGCAGGGCATAGCAAGATGTGGCTTAGCAGCTTATAACCCAGTTATAAACCTATTTGAGGGATTGGTTGACTATAGGTGTGGTATAAATTGGTACATGTAATATAGGGACAGAAAGCAAGTTCAGGCAGTTCTAGGTTGCATCACTTAGAAGTGCGGTGGTGTGATTTTAACTCCTGTCATCAGAGCTTCTGGACCTAAATGCTGCCACTTCCAGTGTGATCTTGACTAAGCAACTTAACATATGAGCCTGCGTTTTCTCATCTGCTCTATGAAGATAACCGTATAAACTTTACAGGATTGTTTCCACCTACTTACCAAAGGGATTTTTTTTTTTAACTTTAAAAAGAGTAAAAAGAATAAGCAATGCTGTGTGTGTATGTGCATTAAAATATACATGACATGACACTTAACATTTTAGCCCTTTTCAGGTGTACAGGTCAGTGATTTCAGATACATTCTCATTTTTGTGCAGCCATCACCACTATCAGTCTCCAGAACTTTTCCACCAGTCAGAGGGACTTTTAAAACATAAGTCACTTGGGGTATCTGGGTGGCTCGGTCGGTTAAGCGTCCGCCTTCAGCTCAGGTCATGATCTCACGGTTCGTGAGTTCGAGCCCCATGTCGGGCTCTGTTTTGACAGCTCAGAGCCTGCTTCAGATTCTGTGTCTCCCTCTCTCTCTGCCTCCCCCACTCATACTCTGTCTCTGTCTCAAAAGTAAAATAAAACAGTAAAAATTTTAAAAATAAAAAATAAATAAAACATAAGTCACTTGAGTTGCTCTGCTCAAATGGCTTCCCATTGCCCTGAGTAAAAGCCAGTGTCCTTATGAGACCCTGTAACATCTGCTTCTCCCACCTCACCACTGATCCTTCTCATACAGGTGTCCTGTATTGTTCCCCAGGGCCTTTGTGCTTGTCATTTCCTCTGCCTAGAAAATTCTTTCCCCTGGAAGTTCACCAGGATTGTTCATTCTAGCCAAATGTCACTTCCAGAGAGGCCATCCTTGACCACCTGTCCAGAATGGCCTCCCCTCCGCACCCTCTCTGTCTCCTAACCCAAGATTGTGCTAGATATTTATAGGTTCATTTGTTGATCATATGCTGAAAGATAACCAAGGCAGGGACCTGGTCTGTTTGCTTCCTGCTGAGTTCCCAGATCCTAGAACATTGGCTGGCATGTTCTAAGTTCTCAGTAAATATTTGTGGGAAAATGAAGTAGGTAGAGTGGCTGGCCAGAAGATGATTTCCAGAAGCCAGCCCCTCCCCTTTCCATGGAAGGCCGCAGAGCAGGGCGCTGGTGACCTTCTGCTCTGCTCTTGTAGCTCAGACCATTCCTGAGCTCAGTTCTAGGAAGTGTGTCTTAGAGACCCTGAAAGGCAACCAAAAACCAGTGGTTGGGTGGGGGCTGGGGTGTTGGAAGCGACACTGATGAACTTTTGATGAAACTAAACTTTTGAGCCCAGAGACGATCAGAACAGGGTTAGAAGATCAGAACAGGGGAGCTCAGTGAGGGCAGATTTAGTGATAGAATTTGTAACAGTAGTTGGGAGAATTAAGTGGGTTGCTATGGGAGGATCAGATTAGATCAGTGTCATACTGGGTCGTGGGCATGGTCCGGGGGGCTATATTCTGGATCATTTGGAAGAAGAGTTGCTGAATTACGTCTAATCCTCCGACTCCAGATTTATTTCCTCATCACAGACTAATGAGACAAGGGGCAGGGGGCTTAATACATATGTGATGCATTAAAGACCAGGGAAAACACCTTTCAGAGCCAGAAAATTTTGGATTTAAATAGAGAAAAATAGAAGTATAGGTCAAGGGGCCTCAACAAGAAGGTTGGGCCTTTTTGCCATTAGACGATTTCAGTAGACCAACATCATCGCGTTAAAGTAACATTGCTAATTTCAGTTTTTATTGGCACTGGTTTTATTTGTATTTTGTTTGTAAATTGCAATTGATTGCAAAATAGGCACTGTAATTTATGAGATCTGTAACCATCAGAAGTCGATACCTAGTTTTTGAGTTAAGACCTGTCATGTTATTATAGAAGTAATTTAGGTCAACACAATTGAGGAAAGCACTGAATCAGAGGACTTTAAGATTTCTGACAGCCCTGAGAGCTTGTGGTTTTGCAAATCTTGTATAACAGTTGTATGGCTATTGCAGCAACACTGCTCAGGATTTAGAAATCTTTCACACATTTAGCTTCTGTTGGCTCAATCCAGGTTCTCTTTCCCCGAGTCTGGTGCCCCCTATATTGGAACTTGAGCCAATCCTGTTACCCAGAGATAAGAAGGATTGCTAATTGACCATCTGTGTACGTTTAACAAGATCAGTCATGTTCTTGCTCACCTCAGGAGGCCTCTTTGTTCTATGGGTTAACCAGCCCCATCATTTGAAAGGAGATTTTTAAAAATCTGAATGCCTGCAGGATTCAGGTTCTATTCAAAAAACAAAACTGTACCTTGGGAATGGGGGGAAAGAGGTTAGGGGACCTAAAAGTAGTGTGCCTGCACAAGGCTTTTAAGTGACCTACTCTGATCATTGCCTAACTGGTTTAACCTTGCAGGTATTTTTCTCACTTCTATATCGTGTCAGTGCTGTGGAATGGCTTCCTGCTTTGGCACCTTACTCAGTCTCTGTTCCTGGGAGTGCCTTTTCCATACTGGCTGCATGGTCTGCTCAGAATTCTTGGAGCTGCCCAGTTCCAAGGTAAGACTCCCCCAGCTGCTTACAACCATTTTGCCCCGTTCCCACCTTTCCTGCCTCCTGGGAGCTGTCTTCCGTATTCCACAGCCACCCTCGGGCTTCTCTGTGGGCCAAGGAAGTGGCGATTGAGGGCTGAAAAAAGGTTTTGGGTGGTTTATAGCCAGATGGCCAAGGGGAGGCCCCCCTGTCTTCACTGAGATCACAGCAGACCCACCGTTAGCTCTTCGTCCCTGACCTCCCAGCAAGTGCCATGCTGTGTACAGGACAGGCCGTTCTCCTTCTGATATTTTTAGTACTATTGATAAATGTATACAAGTCTTTATTCTTCAGTGGAAAAGCTCTTAGGATCCCTCGGGTTTGCCTCAAAATATTTATCATTTCTTTCGCTGAACCAAAATCATGTCTCAGAACCCTAGAAATATAACAGGAAATTACTTTTTGATCACCAGTTAAAAATGTTTGTTATACTGTAAGCTTCAGTTATATAACATCAACTGTAAATAGTTGTTGACCAGATGATTACAAACGAGCCTTTTAATTCGCCTCACCTTACCTCGGATAAAGGATACATTGAACGATTTTAAAAATAAGGAATTGAAGGTGAAAACCAAACGGTAGCCTCAGTTAATGTCAGGTGGAGGCTGAGGGATAGAAGGAGAAACAAATTGTTCCGGCTCTCTCTGTCCTCCGTTCCAGCAGTCAAATCCCTGGCTTCGTAGGAACAGTTCTTTTCTGTATAACCAGGGGAACGTGTTGCAAAAGGTGGCAGCGGGAAGGGAAGACCTACGCAGGTCCCCTCAGCGCGGAGGATACCTCCGCAATTCCCACGTTAGTCGTTCATCCCTTCCTCCCTTTACTGTGAGGCCAGCTGGGGTTCTGGTATTTGGAAGGGCAGTGGTGAGTTCTCTTTGTATATTTGCTTTAACCTACTCCTAAAGAGTTAAAACTAGGATTTACTATATTTAAAATACACAGGCAAAGCTATTCAGGCCTGATAGAGGTCCAGATAGGCCTTCGCCTTGTGTAGGGGGGAGCGAGCGCATACCGGTTCTGTTCAGTTTCCTGATCTAGGTGCTGGTTCTGAGGGTGGAATGGGTTGGTTTCATTTGTAAAAATTCATTAAGCTGTATCCTTATTATAGCCCTATGATGTGTGTGTGTGTGTGTGTGCGCGCGCGCGTGCGTGCATGTGCATGCATGTGGCATTCGTTGAAAAAACATCTAGTTTTTGTCATTTTAAAAAACCAGTATTTCTTCCGAATTCTTTTGGCAGAGGGGTGAGAGGCAGGTAGGAAGATAGATCTCAAGGCTCAGAGTCCCCTAAAAGTATAATTTTCCTAATTTTTTTTAAGTCTGGAAAGAAGTGCGTAATACCCCCTGTCTCTGTTCCCGTCCCCTTTTCTGCCTCTCCAGGCACCTGCATGTCTTGTCTCCCCTGCCTCAGGGGTTCTACCAGCGGGGGTTGGTAGAGGTCACATGGGCACTCTTCATCCGGCTGCCAGGGCCAGCACCCAGAGAGCCACAGTCCTCAGGTTCTGAGTGCACAGACTCCTTCACAGCAACACACATGTAACCTAGGAGGCTTTCATATAACGAGGGAGAGTCCAGAGACCTGAGTTTGTCACTAGCCAACTTCTTTAGCTTCACTTGGCCCACTTCCTCATGACTTTAAAAAAAAATAAAGAAGTATCAGACCAGATGAATTTTAGGGCCCTCTCCTAGCTCTAATGTTACTTAAAACTGCATTGAACACTAGGAAAAAATACAGCTTTGGACTCGTCCTGGAAAGAGAGGTGCTAACGTGCTGTATTTGGAATTCCAGGTGGAGAGCTGGCACTGTCTGCGTTCCTTGTGTTAGTATTTACGTGGCTACACAGTCTGCGGAGGCTCTTCGAGTGCTTCTATGTCAGTGTCTTCTCCAATGCTATGATCCACGTCATGCAGTACTGTTTTGGACTCGTCTACTATGTCCTCATTGGCCTAACCGTGCTGAGCCAAGTGCCAATGGACGGCAGGAATGGTGAGTGGTCCCTGGGGTCTGTTAGTTGAGTCACTGGGCATATGAGGTACTCTTTGGGCAAAGTACCCCGCCAAGGTTTCCGGCAGTATGAAAGTAGACCTGCCCAACCCACTTTGTATATGAAGAATTTGGACTCTATTAGTAGCTTGAAAAAGTCCACATGCCGAAGGTTATATATATTAACTGTTGCAAAACTGCTGAAACCTGAAAGACACCAACATAAGCACCGATGCCTGCAGCGAAGATAGGAAAGTGCCAAGTGTTCAGGAGGCTTGGTGTAAGGATGAAAAAATGGGACATGGGCCTCTGGGGGTGGGACTGAAGCCCATGAACTCCTGTGGAGTTAGTGTAGAAGGAAACAGAGAGCGTGGCCAAGAGTCGGGCAGGAAGCAAGGGAACACCCAAGCACGGGAGAAAGGGTCAGCAGAGAATGTTGTCTCCAAAGCCTCGGTCCCCCTGGTGTGTGCGTGTGGAAGGGGAAGGGTGGTGCAGGATTAAAACTCAGAAAACCAGAGGAGGAAGGTGCAGCCTGGCTCCTGGAGAATAGTTGTGATTTGAAGAGGGAGTAGAAAGCCATTTTATTACAATTTACAGCAGAGCTTTTCTTCCAGGGAGGCAGCCTGAGGGGAGATGGCCGAAGAGTGCTGTGGTAAATCAGATTGGTGTCTGAACGCTTCTGAGCTCCTAGTAGCCAGGAAGAGGGAAGCAAAATCCTGGCCTTTGTTTATGAGGAGGAAGTGAAGTATGTTTTGGGGGGGAAGGGAGATTGGAGATAAAACATACATGACTATCATTTTTGTCAAAACAATGCATACTTACTGCATAGGACCCAACTCATTTGGGGTGATTGAAGGACTGAACTTAGTTTTTAGTGCTGAGGCTAACTGCACTCTGACCCCTTGGTATCCATCCTGGACACTGTAAGGCAGACCATTCATGAGTCCATGTTCCATAAAGCTGCCCTATCCATCCTCATAAATAGAGACCAAAGTCTGATACTCAGTGAGTATCAATACTCAGTGAGTAAGCTTTCTTCTTAGGTTTAATAGCAGCATCAGAGTAGCCCCTTGAAAATCCTCTCTGTGCTGCTGTACTATAACCCAAGGCCTCCATGGCTTGAGGAATGACTGTAGAGTACAACTTATTAATGATCTTTCTTAATTCATGAATTATTTATTGGCTCCAGCCACTCAGCTAGCATCTCTCCATCTGATTCCACTGAACTTAATCAAGTCAGTATTTCCTCCCTGAGCTTTGTGCTTGGACTTTCACGTGCAGGCCATACGGAGGTTTGAACTGTTACCTATGGCGAACAGCACTAGGATTTCCACCCAAAAGAGCGTTCTGAAGCCTGTGGCTAACACACTAGCCTCCAGTCTGTTAGCTCCATTGGCATTACGTATCCCTTCTGGAGCTTTGTCTGCTGGCCGGACCACTGCTTCTGCCCTCCCTCCTATACAAACAGTCAAGGAAAAGCAGCTGAGACACCCACCAAAATCGCTTTCCAGACGCTCCTTTCTGAAGCTGTTTTCTTCTTCACCTACTTGTCTTTCAAGAGGTCATATGCAGACTTTTGGGACAGTATGGCGAGAACTGGTTTCAGGAATTCATTGAGAGAGAACACACTGGGGCATTTGGCAGCTGCAGGGCCTGATGGGAATAGCAGGGACTTAGGTCTCAGGGGGGCTTGAACCTGAATTCTGGCTTATTTAACCATTCTGAGCCTCAGAACCTTCATCTGTAATTAGGGACACATCCTGATTTCAGAGGCTTTTTGTGAAAGGGAAAGGAAAGTACGTCTGTAAGCTGCCCACACCCTCGCACCTCCTTGTCTTCGGGATTCTGGCTGGCTCAGTCAGTTGGAACATGTAACTCTTGATCTTGGGGTTGTGAGTTCGAGCCTCACATTGAGATTACTTAAAAATAAAATCTTAAAAATGTTTAAACTCTAGAGGGTCTTCCTCCAACCACTCTCCATTACACGTTGTATTTTATTTTCTCCGGAGTGCCATCTCTGCCTGAACTTGTCTTCGTTATCGATCTCTCTACTTGTTTCTGTCTGCCTCTTGCCACTAGAATGTGGGTTCATGAGGACTGAGATTTTCCCAAACTTATTCACTGCCTTATTATGCTGTGTGCGAGATGCCAGGCTCAGTAGCCATTCCATTAGTAATTAATAAATAGAGAGTTAAATACTACACAGATTGGACTGTCAGCCTTCCACCTGACTCCCCTCTTCCTGCGTTATAATCCCAACATACTCTAAGAAATCTTTCTTCCTCATAGGCACTTTCTCTGATTCGGAGTAGGTAACTCGGCAATGACATGCACTCTTAAACACTTCAGTTTTTAATCCTAGAGTAACTTGTTCTTAAGGCCCAATTTAAAACTATTGTTCATATTTTGTTTATTTTTAACTTCTAAAAATATAACCTTTTAGTTAAAGGGTTAAATCTAGTAAACATTCAGAGTCTGTAGTAAACTGTTTATATGGGCCAGGTTTTTAAAGGAAATTAACACAGGTAGATATTGGTGGACTCTCATCAGTCATTAGCTGTCATCAGCTGAGTCCCACCTTCAGGTACCCATATGTAATCGCATGATCCTTGGATCTCTTACAGGAATCAACTCTGTGGGGCTCTCCTAGCTCCAGACCCTCAGGCTCTTCCCCGCAGTCAATGGGCAGCTTTGTTTCTTTCCTCAGGTTCCTAACTACCCTGCCTGCTTCCTGCTGATCATAAGGAAGTCCTTGATTTGCTTTTCTGATGCCAGTCCCCAGAAGACCTGAATTCTTCCTGTCTTCTTGACAGCTAGAGAAGAGGAAGTGCTACTTTGAGTGCTTCTACTTCTGAACTAAATCTAACGTGGTTCTTTTTAATCAGAAAGGGATACTATGTGATTTTTCATCTTACAGTTTACATTTCTCCTCTTTTGAGAAGCCCCATGCCGAGCCTTTACTTCCAGTGATTTTCTTCATTGGCTGGAGCCAGTCAAGTTTGGGTTCTGCATTCAGGGTCTACCCTGAATGGCTTAGGGTTGCAGCCCAGGGTTAGATTCCTTTAGAAAGCATTCTCCTCATGGTAGTCTATAAGAAAGAAGACATAAAACCAGGCTTAGAAATATAAATGCAAAGTGGCATCACCACACAAGAGTAGGAGATAGAGATGGGGCGCCTGGGTGTCTCAGTTGGTTGGGTGTCTGGCTCTTGACTTCGGCTCAGGTCATAATCTCACAGTTTATGAGTTCAAGCCCCACATCGGGCTCTGCACTAGCAATGTAGAGCCTGCATGGGATTCTCCCACTCTCTCTGTGCCTCCCCAGCTCACATACTCTGTCTCTCTCTCTCAAAATAAATAAACTTTAAGCAGTAACAACAAAAAGAGTAGGAGACAGAGCTGACTTCTATGCTTGAAGTGTTTGAAGAGGGAACAGGAGAATGTGTCAATGTGGAGTTCTCTGTCAGGGGCCATTGAGGCTGCCCCAGGTTGGGGAGCACACCCCTTCCTTCTCCCCTCTGTCCTTGGGAAATTACATCAGGATAATTTTCTAGTCATGAGGCACAGAGCGTTCGGATAATTGTGCTCTAACTGTATGATTGTTTAATTCCCTAAGCCTCTGAAAGCGCATGTTGGCTAATAAGATAACTCTTTTTTCTGTAGTCTATGTGACAGGGAAAAATCTCTTGATGCAAGCCCGGTGGTTCCATATCCTCGGAATGATGATGTTTATCTGGTCATCTGTCCATCAGTACAAGTGCCATGTCATCCTCGGCAATCTCAGGAAAAATAAAGCAGGTGAGATGTCTTTTAGAGGCACTGCATGTGGATTTTAACCCTCAGAAGTTCGTTGTCTGTGTTCCATTATTTTTTTCCACTTTTTTTCCATTTTTCCATACTTTTTCCATTGTTTTCCTTCCTGCCCTAATTAATTAGCTTATCTATCAAATATTCAGTTTTTAATGTTTATTTATTTTTGGGAGAGAGAGAGAGCATGAACATGAGCGGGGGAGAGAGAAGGGGAGACACAGAATCTAAATCAGGCTCCAGGCTCTGAGCTGTCAGCACAGAGCCTGATGTGGGGCTCTAATTCACGAACTGCGAGATCATGACCTAAGCAGAAGTTGGACACTTAGCTGACAGAGCCACCTGGGCGCCCCTATCAAATATTTATTTTTGACAAGATACCTTTCTGGGTCTTCATCTTACCATTTGTAAAATGAGAGCGTTATGCCAAAAGATCTCCCCAGCCCCATCCAGCCCTGACATTCTGTGATTCTGTTCTGTGTCCACTTTCGGGGCCTGCACTGCTGGTTAGGTTACATGTGCCTAACCAGCATGTGAATGCTAGTTTTACCTTGCTGAGTTAGTATCATTTTAATCAAAGCAAAAAAAACTTGACTTTTAGTTAGCTTGTGTTGACTTACCACAGGTACATTTTTAATAGGCTTTTGAAATACTAAAAATGGAATAATACTAAAAATGGAATAATACATTTACTAAGTGCTTATTCTGGGCCAGGCCCTGTTCTTAGTGCTTTACATATAGCTTCACAGTGCTCTCTTGAGGTGGTTAGAGTCTTTCCCTTACTGTGCAAATGAGGAAACTGAGGCATAGAGATGTTAAGCAACTTTTCTAAAGTCACACAACATGTAAGTGGTAGAGTCAGGATTTGAACTCCTGCGGTCCCAACTGCAGTCTGAGCTCTTAGTTCCTAGCTTGGAGGTCTGGTGGAGAAGCAGGCTTTCCTTTGTGCTTATTTTCAGTTGATGGTGTCACCTAAGCATGAAACTCTTTAATACGGAGTAGGTTGACAATGGGAGTGTAACAGGAAGTGGGTTTGCACACAGGTCTGTGATCCTCTTTTTTATTTCATTTTATTTTTTTTTAATGTTGCTTTTATTTTTGAGAGAGAGAGTGTGTAAGCAGGGGAGGGACAGAGAGAGGGGGACAGAGAATCTGAAATAGGCTCCGCACTGACAGCAGCAAGCCCAATGCGGGGCTCGAACCCACAAACCACAAGATCATGACCTGAGCCGAAGTGGGTCGCTTAACTGACTGAGCCACCCAGGTGCCTCTTTTTTAAGTAAGAGTCCGTAAATTACCTGTGCACTGAAGTGGTAAGCTTTCTTTCTACAGCTCTGTATGTTCAGGAAGTCTTGTTTCTGTTTCAGGAGTGGTCATTCACTGTAACCACCGAATCCCTTTCGGAGACTGGTTTGAATACATTTCTTCCCCTAACTACTTAGCAGAGCTGATGATCTACATTTCCATGGCTGTCACCTTTGGATTCCACAACTTGACTTGGTGGCTAGTCGTGACATATGTTTTCTTCAGCCAGGCCCTGTTTGCTTTGCTCAATCACAGAGTCTACAAAAGCAAATTTGTCTCCTATCCAAAGCAGAGGAAAGCTTTCTTACCATTTCTGTTTTAAGCTCAGTCATGAAGAACACAAACCAGATGACAGGTTTGATGTCACAAAGTCTAGGGACTAAAGTACAATTTTTGCAGAACTGTTTGAAACTCTCTCTTCCGTTTATACGCCCGCAAGTCTTCACTGAATGAGCAAAGCAAGACCCCTCAAGAAGATGGACCTTCAAAGGAGAAATACTCCTGGCAGACCAGGGAGTGCCGGGTCTGCCTTCGGAGATGCTTTGTCAAACCAACCATCTGCTAAGACGGAGATGAGACTTCTCCAAGCTGCTTCAAAGGCAAACTAACCAAGAATATACACACAGCTTAACACATGCACACATCCACAAAGGAAGAGATAAGACCCTCTGTGGCTTTGGCTTTGTTAGGGACAAACCAGCTGGACTACATAACAAGCAATTTAGTAAGTGCTCAGGAACTGTTACATCTCAATAAAAGCAGAAACGCTTTTGAAAATTACAGTATATCATTTCACACCAACCGATTCAGGGAAAAATGACTGTTGGAAATAGTCAATACTTTCACACACGGCCACAAAGCTTACCTGTTATGTAACCAGCAATAGTGGTCCACTCGTCTCCCCCTCAAATCATAGCCTCGCAGAAAATGTGAAACTTCTTTTATTTAATGCTTTTTTGACATCCCTTTCAAGGAAGTACCTTAAAAGTGAAAGCATCTGAAAATAAAATATTTTTGTATTTATGTGTAAAGAGCCTCCATTAATAGGCTGACCTTCGCTGCAGATTGGATAGTGCTACAGCCTGGTTCATATGTAGGTATCCAGACTGGAGTATTTGCCGAATAACTACTTAATTATTTTAATGAAATGAATCTGAAGTTTTTAAGAATAAAGTTTACATGAGTTTATGTTAAAAAAATATATACTCGTTATTAAACCAAAGGGAAATAAACGCATGGCTTAAAAGAAAAACAAGAACTTGAAAAATAATACTAATACTACCTCCTGAGCAACACAGTAAAAACTGCACATTTGTGCAACATAAGATTTCCTGGCTTTGTGACCAAAGTATTGACTTGATTGTTTTACACAGGTAACTGCGTCTACTAGCTACTAACGTTTTGCACTAACGTGTACCTTGCTGTGGGAGAAAGAACCTCGTTATTAACCAGACGTAATCAAATGCACAGTCTAAGAATGTCCTCCCCACCCCCATCCCTGGACTAGTAAACCAAAGCCATTAAACCGAGATCTTTCTGATCTGAACTTTCAATATATGCATAATGAAAGCACATCCTAAAGCTTTTAAAACAATTTCTGTTGTGGCACTTTCTCTCCCATCCATCAAACGCCACTTCAATCGGCTGCTCAGTCTGTTCAAATAAATGACATATTTATTTCATTTATCATTTAGTTTTGCCATCCTCAGGACCAGGAGTCGGGAACAAAATTTTTTCTACACCAGAAATGTAAAGCACATTGCAGTTTGGTCTTAATTTCCATACAAGTGGCATGGGTTTTTAATAGCAAACTGGGCGGTGGGGGGGGTGGGGGGGGGGGATTTATTTTGCTGTAGCATTACCGTTTTATACCTAGGTTAGGCTAGGAATTTGGATGATGTTCTGGAATTTCATTGTACGTTTAAGTGAAATAATGAGTGCGCCCTGTGGAGAACTGTATCCGGGGCTGTTGGGAGGCCTCTGGGTCCTCAGTGTCATGGTCCTGGGCCCAGTGGCCCTACTGTCCCCCCACACTCCCTTCCGCGCTCCTTACACTCCTTCTCCCTCCCTTGCCCAAGCATTACATTTCTAGGTGAAGGCTAAAGAGGCAGCAGTGAGGTCCTCCAAGGGGTTCAAAACAAGTGGTCTCTGATGATAGCTTAACCGTGGAGAATGATTGAGAATGGTGCTGTGCTTGCTAGCTTATAATCAGCATTGCCCTTTGTGTTGGCTGAAAATGTTCCACGTGCCTAGAGAGAGCAAGCTGGAGAGAGCAAGCTGGCGAGCTCTTCCAGGGGAGAACCCAGGAATAGGTGGGGGTGGAGAGTCCTGATCTTCCTGCCACCTTCGTTGAATAACCTCAACATTCCATCCTCTGTTCCTATTAAGTTAGGGGAAATGATACTGAGCTACCTCCTGACAGCATTGTCAGGACTAACTAGTGGCTACAAAAGTGTGCTGAAAATAGCCTCTGTGTTTAAGTCTCCCAAGTTGTACCGTCCTCTGTACCAACATTTGCCGCCAGTGGGCATAGATCTTGTGTCCACAAAACCGTGTTCCATATTAGGTTCCTAATTCAATTAGTGGTTATGGCTAGGATTCCTACCAGAAAAGAGGGGGTCTTTTCAGGTATTTTTACATGGCACTTAGTAAATAGTTTAAGGAGACTGTAAACTCTCCCGTTTGTACAACTCCCTGAAAATTCAAGGACCCTTGGTAAGTAATGTACATCAAAATGAACCAATATATTAAAGAAGATTTTAAAATACTAAATGAGCAAGTAGAAATGTTTTACACCTCTCTAAGCAATTTCTGCCCACTCTTTCACAGCATTGCTTATTGGGGGAAAAAAATCACTTAACTGGTTTTTATAAATTACATATATTAGTCGAACCTAAGACGTTTCTAATACACAGACAAGAAGCAGTGGAGGTGGCAGTGATGCACAACTAATTCGCATGACACATACTCATCGTGTTTCTCAAATACCAGTGATCTAGAAAGCCAGGTACTGGTTTTAGGGAAAGCAAAATTTGATCATCCAAACAAAAGCAATTCTATTTTTAATTTTTTTAAATGTTTTATTTATTTCTGAGAGAGAGTGAGCAGGGGAGGGTAAGAGAGAGAGGGAGACACAGAACCTGAAACAGGCTCCAGGCTCTGAGCTAGCTGTTAGCACAGAGCCCGACACAGGACTCGAACCCACGAACCGTGAAATCATAACCTGAGCCAAAGTTGGACGCTTAACCAACTGAGCCACCCAGGCACCCCAAGCAAAAACTGAATTCTAAAGAGCTACTCTATGCACACGATTGAGAAAGTTTAGTATTGAGTCTCTTCCTCCAAAAAGATTCTCAGCTCTTGAAGGACGTAGAGGACAAAAGAACACAAGGGATTTCTCAGCAAAGAGACAAACCTGTCTCCTGAGTCTAGCCCTCTGGTAAGTCTTCATCGCATGTGTGCAGTTTTTACCAGGGCTCCCTGGCTCACACAACACCTTTCTGTGGATTAGAAAAGATGGCACTCGGGACATCTCCCTAGTAGCAAAGCATGAACATTTGTGGCCACAAAAGACAGCAGGTGATGGGACTGCGGCTCAGTGAGCAGAGCTCGGGCTGAATCTCAGCCCCACTCACCCTTTGTGCCTAGCGTCCTTTGTGCAGTGGTCAAACCATACAACCTTCCATAGCAAAGAGACCATGCTCATCATGCTGCCTATCTGTCTGCAGATTCTGTTCGCTCTTGAAAGACTTGATTTCATGGAACCATCTCACTGAGAAAGACCATAAGAGCTAAACAAAGAATTAAGCAGCCCATGCAAAAGATCTGAGCTTCCACTCACAAAAAGGGGGAGTTTGGTGGACAGCAGGTGAGTGACCCTCAAAGAGTAGAATGCAGGCCCCAAATATAGAAAATATTTCGCTTACTTTCTGCCTACCACCTCCTGTTTTTCCAGCTCATTGTTCTAGTACTGCAACTCCAACAATCTTTCCACCCTGTTGGGTCCTCCAGTATATTGACCTCGTGACATTTTTATTGTCCTTTGCCCATAAGTCTTCCCTTATCTCCTTACCCTACTTAAATTCCAGGTAAATCACTATAACCAATCCTTCATATAGATCCTCAACTCTTGCCTCCTCCTACTGATTTAGCAAAGCCACAACCCTGGTTAGATTCAGCCCTCTCTTTCTCTGTGTGCATCCACACAGCTGAACCGTGGCTGGAGAAATACAGTCCACAGACAGCCCACTCCAGATTCATGTCCACTAACCTCAAATGGTCTTCAGTGCTGCAACCATATTAAAATTCTCCAGTCCGTTCACTCTCCCCCTCTACTGACTGTGTTACATCTCTGTGCCCAGAAAAACGAAGCTGCTGGAAGAGAACCCCCACAGGTTACCCCCACTCCTCCACCCACCCAAGCATCTGCTCCCCAATACGCTACTGTCCCTCGTTACTATTGTTGAAGGATACTTTTTTTTAAATGTAAAATCATGATTCTCATACAAATACAAAATGAACATGTGCCAACAACTTTACTTCACTCGTTAAACAGTGAAAGAACCGGTAAGATGTTAGAACCAGTTCACTGAGGAATGCCTAAAAGCAGGCACATGTGTGGGTAATGAGGCATGCCAAAATGAATGTCATAGAGGCATATTAGTTGCTTAAAACCTGCAAAAGTAGTGTCTACAGTGAGGAGAGGGAAAGTACTTGTGCCTCCCGCAGACAAAATGCCCTTGCATGTCTCTGCAGAAGAATTATTTGCATTCCTGTCGGTTGTCTAGGAGTTGTTAAATAGCCCAAAGACATGGGACAGACAGCCTAAACAGGTGCCAGAAAGGACGCCTGCAATATTTTTTGCTCATTTCAAAGTCATTGCAATTTTTTCCTGAAACTACAGACAATCTCTCTGGATTTCTTCCCACAGCCAGGCCCCCTACTTGAGCACTTCTTCCTCCCACTGGATCATCACGTGTTTGCTCTTTTCTCTGCATTTCTGTAAGCAGACAAATACCTTTTCAAAACCTTCTAACCTCATTTCCCTCACCAGATAAGCAGTTCCTTTCTGGTTTGTGTTTTGTTTTTGGCTTTTTTTCTTTTTCTTTATGCAGCAAAACTAGAAAGATTTGCCAGATTCTGACTAATGTTATTCTCCTTCCAGCGTCCGGCCCAAGTTGGTCACTCTGTAGACCTCATGACGGCCAGGACACTGCCCCAGGAAAGGTCTCCAGCTACCCTGCCTCACCCAGTGGTCGCTTCTCGGCACCTGTCCCAACACAGCAGCAGCAGCTGGTCATGTCACCTGGATAACTTGCCCTGATTGTCCCCAAGACACCACGCCTTGGGGTTTTCCTCCTGTCTCCCTGGCCGCTCCTTCCCAGGTTCCTCTGCGGACTCCTTCCCTCTCTTCTGACGGCTTGGAGGGAGCATGCCAATTTGCAGCTCCTGGTCCCTTTCTCACTGGATGGTGATCTCATCCAGTCTCAGGCTTTAACTACTGTTTATCTGCTGACAACCCCTGTATTTATATATCCAGCCTAAACATCACTCCTGCGCTCTGGGCTCATATACACAGTTGCCTACTTAACATCTCTACTTAATGTATAATAGAGATCAGGTTCAACATGATTAAGTTAATTTCTGATTTTCCTCATCCCCCATATCTGATCCACCCACAGTCTTATCATTTTTTACTTCCTCAAACCAAAAACGGTGGCATCTTCCTTGACTCCTCTCTCCCTCCCACTCCACAAACCAATCCGTGGTTCTACTTTCAAAGTACATCCAGAATCCATCCCTGTTTATCATAACTCTACCAACTACCATCCTGATTGGAGCTGCCATCATTTCTTGCCTAACTTACTACAACAGACTCCTAACTGGTCTCCCTGTTTCCCCCCTTATTTTCCCTTATTCCTTATAGCTGAGTCTCAACACGAACCAGAGGAATCTTTCAAAAACCTATACCCCATCATGTCAGATTCAAACCCTTGCAGCAGCTCCCAGTTTCTCTCAGATAAAGGCCAAATCCCTATAATAACCTCCTGGCCCCCATGTGATCTGGCTCCCCACCCACATCTCTTACTTCATCTCCTATTATTTTTACCCTCATTCACCCTTCCTACACAATGGCCCCCTTGCCATTCGTTTTACATGTCAGTCCTGATCCTCTGTCCAGACCTTTGCACTGGCTGTGCCCTCTGCCCAGATAGCTCCCACGTGGCGAACTCCCTCACTTCCTTCAAGGTGTATTAGCTATCCACCGCTCTGTAACCAAGTATTCCAAATTTTAGCAGCTTAAAACAGCAAACATCTGATAGTTTCTGTGCATCAGGATTTCAGGCGCCACCTAGCTGGGCGTCTCTGCCTCAAGGATTCACTGCAGTCAAGGGGGCACCAGGACTGAGGTCTCATCTGTGAGCTCCACTGAAGGAGGACCCACCTCCAAACTCATTCACCCAGTTAGGATTCGGTTCCTTGTGAGCTATTGAGTGACGGGCCAGGTGCCTGTGAGTGCCCTATCATGTGGATCTCTCCACAGAGCAGCTCATAGTACCCGAGTTTCATCAGAGCCAGCAAGCAAGAGCATGCAAGACAGAAGACAGTCTCTTTGTAACCTGGTCTTGGAAGTGACATCCCATCACTTTTGTCATATTTTGTTTGTTGGAAGGCAGTCACT